GCAAGGGTGCCATGTTTTCAAATCCTGCTTACTTTATTAAAATATTAGGAATATACTGTTTTAAAAATAAACATTTAAAAAATTAGAACCAAAGAAAAACGAGATAGATTACATTTTGGAGAGTCCCACTAGGAATAAATATCACTCTGAAACACAGGCCCTGTTCTCTCTCTCACAGGTAAAAGCTGGCTCCACTTAAAAATTACATCAAGATAATGGGGCATATTCTTTCCAGACTGAGACACACTTAAAGCTCAGTCTTCAAACCTCTGACGACGAGCCCTCACCCTCTCTCCTCGCTTACTCTGTACTGCAATTCAAATAGTAGGGTTGTGGAAGTTCAAGGCCACTAAACGGTTCTGAAGGTTTGGCTGCAACTCATGCACGGCCCCCAAACCTTCATTTTCCAATGTCCTGAGAAACTACATCTGTTTGGATGGACGTAGCTAAGCACAGACCTGAGACACCATCCCTGCTATCACTTGAGTAATTTACCTCCAACTCCTTGTTCCATCCTTACACAATGTGGACATGTAAAGACTGAAAAAGCTGTAATCTGTCCGTATATTTATCTTAGAAAATCAAAATAAAAAAATCCAGAGACTGCAGCATCTCAATACTTGTCAAAATGTGTGTGGTCCTGACAACAGACATGCCATAGCTTATTTCTAAACAACCCGTCAACTGAAAACCGTACGTTGAAGAACTGATTTATTAAACCTGCTAGGCAGCCAAACAAATATTGACATGATGTATCATCACAATATGCTTCCAATAACAGCTTTTACATTTCGAATGAGTTTTGCCAGAGAACCAGAGATTTATGTCCAAAACTGGCTCTCCATTTGTCTGCCAACCTTGGCTGGTATTTTGCATTCAGCAACAAAATCACAACTCTATGCAAAAAAGAAAAAAAAAATCAGACAATAGAGCCGCAAACCTTTTCAAATGATGAGTGTTACATAAATGACTGTTCTCACTGGAGGGGAGATTGCAAACGATAACATTTTCAAGCCAAGTGTAACCACAGAAATGGTTGATAACCGTTTATGAACCCATTCTGGATGTGCTATATTGTTCTGCAGAAATATTTTAATTCTAAGGGAAAAGGGTAGTAGGCACGATTCATAGTACGGAGCTGGTTGTGTAGACCTTGTCAATCTCCCTGTCACCTCGGACACATGAGCTGGAAGAGTCTCAGCTTCCTCGACAGCAATGTGAAGAAATACACACCGAGACTGTGAGTCAGCCGAGGCCAAGCACAGACATTCACTGACTCCTCACAGCATAGTTTTGGTGTTTTGGAAATGTATACATCTTAGGAAGCACAAGAAGAGGAAACAGGCCTTAACTGTATTTTAATACTCATCGTGTCCAGTATTGAACATCCAGTTTGTAGCTAATACTGTTGTTCATTTGCTAGGCATTCTCTCTGAGACATCTGGCGCTTCCCAAGTCGGCTGTTTATTTCTGAGATAGTTAATTCCTGCTGTACCAAACTGGGGGATATGGACATGATAATCAAATACTGAGGATGAAGCCCAAAGAATTACAATTTTCAAAGTTCTCACTCCTTTCTTTGCTTTACTAAGTGTTTATTATTGACAAGTTAGTTTTGAAACCCATTTTTGGCCATATTTGTCTTGGTCACTGTTCTACCACTGTGAAGAGACACCGTGACCAAGCCAAATTAGGGCCTGCTTACAGTTTCAGAGGCTTAGTCCATTATCATCACAGTAGGGATCAGGGTTGCTTGCAGGAGGCAGAGTGCTGGAGAAGTAGCTGAGAACTACCTCCGGATCCACAGGCAAGAGAGTGAAGAGTGAGAGAATGTGAGTGAGAGCTAGAGACTGGGACTGGCATGAGCCTTAGAAACCCCAAAATCCAACCCTAGTGCCATACTTCCTCCCAAAGGCCACACCTCCTTATCCTTAAATCTCACCACTCCCTGATGACTCAAACTCAGGAGCCTATGGGGGCCATTCTTATTCAAACCATGATATTGGACTTATAAAATTTATAGTTTGGGACAAATAATTCTGTGCTTAATAATTGCTACAGCAAAAAAGAAGATACAGTGGCTAAATCTTAATTTGGCTGGGAAGCAGAGAAATGAGGCTGAGAGCTTCTCAAGCCATAGGTTTCCTGGTCTCACAGATGTGGGAAGTAAAGGCAACAAGCCTAAGAACATGGCACACCACAGGACTAAACAGCCTCTGAAGTGTGGTACAGCTACAGAAGTAAACCATGAAGACAGTAGGAACAGTGCCTGTGGACAAAGAACAGTCCAGAAAGGCCTGTGATGGCAGGAAGGCCTCTCATACAGACTGTAACTCTGATGGAGAGCTTGGGCTAGTAAAACCACATGCCAGTCACTGTCGCTCTATTTGTGTATATTTGTGTCCTGAGGCAGTCCTGCTGTGCAGCCCAGGCTGCCCTTGATCTTGCAGTCCTACTGCTGGGATTCCAGAAGTGTGCCACAAGTGGCTGGACTCTGTAGTTTTTCTATCATTACTAAAGCATCTATTCAAAGTATTGGCACTCATTACTACACATTTTCAGCATGCCATGGAAGTTGTTTGTCTTTGAAAATGTATGGTGATATTTTATTTGTATTAAAATATTATTTGTAGGTTAATAAATAAAGTTGCCCGGGGGTCAGAGCTATTAGCAAGCCATAGGAAAGCAGGGCGGTGGTAGCGTACGCTTGTAATTCCAGCACTTGGTAGGCAGAGCTGGGTAAGTCTCTGTGTGTTCAGGGATACAGCCATTATTGGATACACATGCCTTTAATCTTAATACCAATCATGGAAAACCTGGAGGCCTATACAGACAGGCTGTGAGGAGGTGGTCATGTGGTTGGGTTTACAACCAATGAGAAGGCAGGACAGGAACTCTATATAAAGACTTTAACACAGGGGTAGCTCTGGTTCGGAGAGGTAGGACCACCGCAGGAGGAAGGGTAAGGTTTTAGCTCTTAGCTCTGACCTCTTGGCTTTCTTCTTTGCATTGGTTCTGTGTTTCTTATTTAATAAGAAGGTTGGATACACAAGTGAGTATTTTGCAGAAAATGGATTCTGAAATTTTCTCAAAAGTTATATGGAATCCCAGACAAAGCCTGGTTCAAAGTGTAATCTTCCCAGTCCTTCAAGGAGGTGGGACTCACTGAGCACTGTTTCAACAAGTCATACATTAAACTAGTCTTCACAATTAAAGTTCAACAGGCTTTTATCATTTTTTTTCTAGATTTACGTGTACAGAAGTGTTGTTTGCAGTGTTCACAGAGGCCAGAAGAGGACATTGAATCCCATGGAATTGGAGTTACAGATGGTTGAGACACTGTAGGGAACAAAACTTGATCCTCTGCAAGAGCAGTAGGTGCTTTTAACCACTGAGCATCTGTCCAGCCCTAGTTAAACAGATTTTAATGATAAACCAACTATGCACATAATTTTACCTAGCTTTATAAATAGCCTTGGAAACAGTTAACAACCTAGAATTACTCCTTTATAGTATATTAATGCTTCCAATTTACAAATGTTTGGGGCCTCTTGGGCAAAGACATAATGGTAATTTAAAATGTTTTACGCTTGGGTGCATATAAATGTCCATGTGTCACAGCCTGGATGTGGAGGTCAGTCCTTTCCTTCTACCATGAAGGTCTCAGGGATGAACTCAGGTTATTGTCAGCAAGCACCTGTTTTGGCTGAGCCAACCCCCTTGGAATCCTTTCAATTGACTTCTTTGTCAAATAAAAACTACAGCTAAGACATAAAGCACTACAAGCCCACTGACAACTGTAAGCCAATTTTCCCAGCAGGGACAACGGTCAGCATCTTCACACTGTCAGGTTATTACAGAGTCAAGCGGCTTAAAGGACCGCCCAAGATTTCAGTGTCCTTTGACCACAGCTTGCAATTCTACTCTCTAGGGTGGAAAGGCTGTCCTGGAGCTAACCCTCAAGCAGCATATGAAGCCATCAGACCTCCTTACAGAGGTTCTCATGTTTATGATTTAAACTCAGTTAGAACCTGAGGGATGGTTTCTAATTTCCTAGTTTACTCTGGTCCCTACCAGAGCTGGGACCTCCTGAAGTTTTCTTCTTCCGTATATGGATTGACATTTAGAAATTTCCTTTTCTTTTTTTTAATGACTTATAAACTGGTTCAATAGGTATGCTGGTTATTAAGTCTGATAGTAAAGTAATGGTAGCCATGGTTTACAATATACAAAATGTATTTTCCTACACTATTATTTATGGGCATTTAAATATAATACCTAAAACATTCTGCATAAAGAACTTACAGATCGGCCGGGCGGTGGTGGCGCACGCCTTTAATCCCAGCACTCGGGAGGCAGAGCCAGGCGGATCTCTGTGAGTTCGAGGCCAGCCTGGGCTACCAAGTGAGTTCCAGGAAAGGCACAAAGCTACACAGAGAAACCCTGTCTCGAAAAACTAAAGGAAAAAAAAAAAAACAAAAAACCAGACAAACAAAAAAAAAAAACGAACTTACAGATCACATTTACTTAATAACAAATCATCTAATTTTTGAGTAAAATATTTTGAAGACTATATTTTCAAATCAAAGAACAGATGTGCTAGGTAAATCATTTTAGACTGCAGGACTGTATAAACATTATAGAAAGCATGCAGAATTAAGGCAGAATGGAAGAAACTTAGTAACAAAAAATTAGGTAACAAGTATTTAAACATTTCTGGCTAGCAGAGGTTTAATGCTATAAGGAATAGGGTCTCCAGGCACTAGACTTTTGTAAAAATAAAATCCCAGCCAACAAGAATTGCATATTGCTACACAATTCGGAACTCCAGCATGCACTCTGCAAACCTGTGAACAATGACAATTCTTCCATCTACTAACATAACTCTTCAGATGCTGACCCTTAATACTCTTACAAACACCCTCCCTTCCCCAGTGAACCAAGGTCCTGTAATAGGGAATACACAAGACACGAGATAAAAATTGGTCCTTAAGACATCATTCATGAATTCAGTGAGTATTTATTGAGAACCTGTATCTCTAGCTCTAGGGAGCATGTGACACACTGACCCTCACCTCCAAAGAGCTCACCCGCTAAATCAAGAACAGGCCAGCTCTCACTTAGTCACTGTCAACATTTAATTCATCCTGCAAGATGATAAAGACATGGATTTCCTCTGTAGGAGCAACGATGATCTTTAAAAGAATGCATCATTGTGGGAGGGGGCATTGGCTCACATCAGGGCGTCTGTGTAAGGTCGGAGGATGACTGTGGAGTTGTTCTCTCTTTCCACATGGGTTTTGGCTTACAAAGCTTTGCCTGGTTGAACCGCCTCCCCAGGTCCCAGGCCCTGACATCTTTCTGTAGATGGCTGTGGGTGTTCTGAAATGTATATGGAGGTGCCTTCTGATGCTATGCCCGGTACTCTTCTCCCTTTCATACTTCTCCTGTGACACTGCCAGCCTCATCACTTCCTCTGCTCTGCCAGCAAGGGCCTGGCCATCTTTGCTTCCCTGGCTTCTTATCCACTTATCACTAATGCTAACAGCTTCCTTAAGTTCCCTGATCAGTGGGGACACCCCATCAGCACAGGTGCTGCTTCTCTAAGCTCTGTTCTAAAAGTCAGATCTTCTCTGAAACAATATTTCCTGGATGCTAGAGAATCCTCAAAAAGAAGGGTGTAAGGACTTCCGTTTGAACACTGTATTAAGACATTATCGAGGAATGCATAATTTAGCTAAGGGTGCTTCTTCTGCGGTAGTCAGTTCCCACCAGGACACATTTGATTTCACAAGATCACTATGTTGAAGCTATTTGTGTAAGATAGCAACTTTATACACATAATGGTTAAATCCCATGATTTAATTTTGGTTTTGTACAACTCATCACAACCAATATAATTTGAAAATCTAAACATGGGCCTGCAGGTGAGATGCTCTTGAGCCAAATGCTTCTATGATCATTATCCTTTAAATTCTCAAGTCAGAAAATACATCTGATACTGTAAATTTTGATTTTCCAAATGTTCCTCAAAGGGCTGATCAGACTCATCCTCTGGTTTTGTTGTTGGCTTTGTTTGTTTTTTTAAAGCACAGTCCATTGGTCACAGAAGTACCCTCTTCTTCTGGTGAGGCAGCAGTCACCCACTGTGTGACCTATGGTTGGTACCCTCCACTTAAAGGCATTCTCTCTTCCCATGAACAAAACGAACAAGAAGGGACAAGAGTCATTTTTCCTGTTTCATTGATTCTTGGTGCTTTCATTGTACCGTGAATGCCTGATTTCAACAGTACAGCAACAACAAATACCAGTATTTATTCTGAAAAGCTGGGTATTCCAAGAAGCAGACATTAGCAGCTTCCAACTCGGTCTCTAGGAATGATTCGCAGCTCTGAGCCATGCTTCAGAAAAACATTTCCTACACAAACAAACAAAAATGCACAGTTAGGCGTCTAAAGGGGACAATATTGGCATCCCAGCAACGGGCACACAGCATTAGATGATGCATTAGGGAGGAGGGAGGGAGAGAGGCCCTGCATCCTCGGAACTGGTGCCTACCTTCCAAAGCCCTGCCCCATTCTCCTCCAGCCCCACAGATCAACAAGTGCTTAAAATGTGAAGGCACACCAGCCACTGTCATGCCAGCAAATGCAGTAACATCAACCAATGGCACCACCAGTAAAAATAAACAGTAAATCCAAGGTCAGAGGAGGCTACTGACATGCTCTGGTACTCGGGTTTAAGCCCCTGGTGAGATTATAATCAAGCTCCATGACATACGATTCAATTAAGAGGTGACATAAAGGACAACATGTGAGACTAAGCAAGAATTCAAATGAATATAAGCTAACAAAAACTTCTAGAACTAAAAGTACAAAACCATCTTCTCCCATATCACCTGATACTTATGTAATACAGTGCCTCAGGATTTTCAATAAATAAACATTTCAGTTTAAATATATACTCAAGATCATTGAGTATGGTAACAAAAATCTCCAACTGTGTATCACTCATTTTCTAGATTTGTGATTTTCACCAGTGACATAACTGGTGAAACATAATTTTTATAAATCAACATCTTCCAAATACAATTATTTAAAAGCCAAGTATTGTTCAAGAATGAGACTATATTATATTAATAGTACAGCCTCAGAGCATTGTAGTTAGAATATCAGCCAAAGGACACATCTTAATAAATACAGACTCTTTTTTTTTCACAGTTTAAGAGTGCCTTTACTGAAGTTCAAGACACATTTGCCCTACCTGCTAGCCAGGATGTCAATGTTCCATGCTAAGCTATGTTCACAGTTTGAGTGTTAGTGAGAACTCAGCCTTTCGAACGTCAGTGGCTGTGGCTGTGTAAAGGAATGGGGGCTAGAACTCTTGCTGGCACTTCCTAGATACTAGCCATGGAATACCCAGACCTTAAGCAATTCACTGACGACCTCACAATCACTTTAAGAGGTGGGTCAGTCACTAACCTGGCAACACAATCTGACCTTCAGACTTCTTTGTTATGAAAGTATTAACTAAATACTTTTAATTCCTAAACCACTATTAATTAGGCTTTCATTTACTTGTAGTGAGAACCACAGAAATAATTAATATATATATAAATGAAACCAGTTGTCATTGTGTTACAAATAGACTGCCACATAAGCTCTACACAGCTGTGTCTTCTGTAAAATCCTATCTAACTGAAATGAACAAATATTCAGCTTCGATGGACACACAGGCAGATACTCACCAGCAGTCTGTGCAGGATTTATTCCTATTCCATCTAGAAAATAAATTGTAAATCAGGTCAGTTATTCTGAAAGCTAAAACAATCTAAATAGTAACAAGAGATTTGCCAGAATAGTGCTGCTTTGGGTACAGGCAAAGGCTGAGCAATTCAATCCCAGAACAGAGACAACAATCTCTCCGATGAGCAACCCATCTGTGGACACCTCCCATGGCATGTGTTTATACAAAACATCCTAAGGACAACGATTCTCATACACGCTATACACGGTGGTATTTTTAGGCTTATTTTGCTACATGAGAACTACCTGCATGGGACGTTTCCCACCCACAGTAATTTATACACAGATGGACAAGGGCCCCTCACAGCTCCTTCACTGCTTTACTCTTATCTCCTAAGACCAGTTCCACTGGAATTTGGACCAGTGCTCCAAGGTATTCAGATTTTTAACTGAATATATCTAAACCGAAAAACACTGCATGCCTGTAAACCAGTTTCCTATTAGCACAGACAAGGCATAGGGGAGTCACATTCCTGCTTAACTTTCTATACTCTTAAAGCACTTTCTGCTATGGCCTGACGTATATCTAAACCTTGCCAGAAAGGAAGCTGCCTGCAGTAATAATCCAGAGAAAGAGATGAGGACAGGAGGCACTGTGAAGCTTCTCTAACCTAAGGCAGAGGTCATTACATGCAGTGGCCTCCATGAAGAGTTTACTATTAAGTGCAATGTTTATGTTAACATATACAGGGGCTTTGGGATTCAAAGCCCACTGTCTCTAGCACTTATGGTTTAAGGCGAATTCTTACCATTAGTAATAATCGCACTTGTTGCTGCAGGAACTTTAAACTAAAAGGAAGAAAAGAAATAAAAAAAGTCAATACCATTTGCATGGAAACATGAAAGACAGAATAAGGATGCAGGCCCTACTATCAACTCCATAATTCTAAAATCCAACAGTCTTTTGGAGAAAGAAACCACAGTAAAAAAGCAGTTACTAGAATATCTAGTGCAGTGTTAGAGCTGGGGTTAGATGGTATGCACACAGCCCAGGGACTGAGTCCCAGTACTGGGGACCAGGAGGGCAAGAAGAGAACAGAAGGATTTCGTTTATGTGATGCAGCTGACCAATGTCACTACTAAACAGAAAACTGAAGTCTCCCAAATCACATTCTGGTGCCAACTGGCCCAGATCAACCTACACTTTCAAGTGCTGTGCCCAGAGATGCTTTCTAAACAATTCTGATAACTGCAGGTAGAAAAAGCTCTTAAAAACAGAATATGCCAATGTGTTTTTTTAAAAAACACTTTCTAAAACAACTAATTTTTACCGAAAGTACATCCCAGATAGGTTGATATAAGGTCAGCTCTTTAAAAAAAAACAAAAGACAACTTACATATCTCTGGCACATTCACTACCAATACAATTCTCACACTTTTCATCTGCTGAATTAAACAGATGTGCCAAGTTGTTCAGCTCACTGTTTTCTAATGAGAAGAGAGAGTAACTTTACCTGGACTTGTGACTCCTATAGCCTGAGCCCAGCAATGAACGACAGGGAAATGGGGTGAGGAGGGGCACAGGGCATGCAAATATACACAAGACAGAAAACAGAACCAAGCCAGACTGCATCCATAAGGACACTGTTAGAACCCACACTTACTTCTTCCGCTGCAAACTTTAACACTGCTGTGAAAGGTGTACTTTCAGGAACACTGAGACTGCAACAAACAAAAACCAAGTCAAAGAACTTCAACGTTGACTTTCCTGCAAACGAGGGACACTGTCTTTGGGCAGGTTGGCTGTTTTCCTGGCAGCATTATGTGCACTGGTGCTGAGAACAGGACACCAGAGAAGCAGCGTCCAGACAAGGAACCAACACTCGTGTGGAAGCCGACACTGGCAAGCACAGAGTTCTGCCTTCTCTTTCTTTTTATCCATGTGTGTTTAAAGTTCACTGTATTTTGTGTATGTGCCTGGGCTTATGTACATACATATATACACAGGTGCCCACAGAGGCCAAACGAGGGCACTGGATCCACTGGAACTAGTTACAGTCAGATGTGAGCCATCACATAGTGCTAGGAATCGAACCTGAGTCCTCTGCAAAAGCCGCCAGTGCCAAACACTGAGCCACGGCTCCACCCAGGGTGATACAAGTAAGTGTAGGGCATGGGCAGACATTTAATTCGATAATTTATTTTTTCTTTTTTTAAAGGCAGCGTCTCAAGCTGGTCTCAAACTCAGAGAGCTGTTTGCCACTGCCTTCCAAATACTGGGATTAAAGGCTGTGCCAGTGTGCCCAGGATAAGATAGCTGTCAGCAAGGTCAACCTCTCCTTGGTCCTCAGTCTACTGCCTCTCATTCAAGTTTCTAAAAAGCAAAAACAAAATGAAACAAAACAAAAAAACCTAAAAGCACTGATTAAGCACAAAAACCAGACACCTCTCAAGCAGAGAAAAACAAAAAGCTAGCATTCTCTCTAAGCTTTTCTATTTGTCATCACATATCCCATTAATGTCTTAATATCAACTACTGTCAGAGAATGTTCTTAGGACTAAGCCTGGGCCCCTCTTCCATCATCTCTGAATATAAAAGTACTGACTTTCAAATGATTTTTTTTGTGCTGGCATTTTTCCTTCAAATGTTATTCAATGATTAAAATTTGTATCATTCTTTTCCTTTCTTTCATTTTCTATTTGGAGGGTAGAGGGGCACAGAATAAAAAGAAAATTCAAATAGTCCTAATAGTCACTCATTTAAAATCTTCTAATATATCAGGAATGAGAGGTTCACAGTACACATTTCAGTAGTATTTTGCAAGTACTCGTGTAGAAAATCAGCAGACTACACATGCACACACATCCACACGTGCATTAAATAAACACAACCTGGAATGGTTAATCAAAGTTATTCAGCTGCAATGTATTAACTGAAATGGTCCCACACTCCAGCAGCTGATTCTGGCATTGTCCGGCTGACTGTCCTTTACCCTTTCCTCCTCCTCCTCCTCCTCCTCCTCCTCCTCCTCCTCCTCATTCTTCTTTTCAGAGCACAATTACACAATGCTGGGCATAATATAGTACAAAGGGAGAAAAGAACCGACCAGAGAAAGGTGCCGTGACTTAACGTGCCTCAATCCTGAGCAGACCAAAACAGGTGAACTGTAGAAAGAGGCTTTCACAACAGTAGTTACGCTCTTTACGGTAAAGGTATGGGAGATGTTTATGGGCACTGCATGAAAATTAGAGAACTCCCCGCTCCTTTTGATCAAGGGGGAAAGGAGTTGTGGAAAGTTTGAAATAAAACAAAAATACTTTCTGAAAATAGAAAAATGAGCAAACTTTTGGGAACATAGGAGAATGTCAGTCATAAGTTTTTTTCATAAAACTCGCCAATGCTATTGAAATTTTCTCTAGGAACAGATTCAAGTACAGAGAACACAAATGGTTAGACTTGCAGTTGGTGTCTCACCAAGCAAAATATACCACAGAGCGGTGGCCAGGAGATTCAAGGATCTTTACTAGAGAGTGATCTAAAACGGCAGACCACAGACTTCCACCTGCATAAGAAATGAGTGGGCCTGGCACCGGGGATGGGAGAGGGAAGTATTGTGGATGAGATACTGCAGTAAATCATCTGGAGGGAGAGGATGTGGGTACCTGAAAAACGACAGTTTAGAGATGGAACAATTACTGGAGAGATGAGGGAGGGGTACGGGGACCATTTTAGAGATGGAAAGGCAAGGGATCAAGAAGCCGAGAACTGAATGAGTCACAGGTGGGAAGGCACAGACAGCGAGGACGGCTGCTATCAGCTCAGTTAGCTAGGTTTGGTGCCACTACACAAACCATGCACAAAATCTTACGGAAATTTTGCCAGTTAGCATAGGCCTTCCAGCTGTACTTACTCAAAGGGGTCTATACTTAAAAATCATAAGAAAATTGAGATCGGTAACCTGTGTTAACCACCAACTCAATTGCTCAAGAATAAAGGGCCCAACAAGTATATACATAGCCCCACACTCACATTCCCCAATCGTGCTAAGCACTTTTTTTTTTTAAGATCCAAGTGCGTGTAACTTGGGGTTCACCACGGAGACAAACAGTTGTTGAATCATACTCACTACAAAACAAAAAACCTGAAGCTAGCAGTGTTAGTTTTGGACCTGTCAAAGAGTCCAGACTTTGGGAGTCTTCCCTAACTTCGGGTAACAGCTGGTCCAAGTGATTAAAGGCCTTTAAATCAAGTAAATGGGACTGACGGAGTAACGTGCTGCATCAGTGTCCAAAGTTCTTTCCGATGCACCTGCCCACCCAGTGCACTCCGAGGGGTGCTGGCTTCTCAGCAAAAATGCTGCACCCCTCTTCCTGCACGCTCCTGTCCCGCCAGGCCCGGCCGGCTGCAGCCCGGCCTGTCACTCACACTTTGTACGGTAGCCGCGGGTCCGACGTCAGCGTGATTTTAAAGGACACCTTCGACCTGCGGGAGAGAACGAGACGGTGTTACGGTCGGGTCGGGCCGCGGGGCCGGGGCCGCGGCGGAGGGACGGACACTTACATGGTGGAGTCGCCGCACACACACCGCGCCTAGTCGCCCGCCCGGCTTCCTCGATGGCCGGCAGCGGGGGCCTTCGCGGCCCACGTCGCCTTCCGGTGAGGCTATCCACGGCTCGCCTGAAAAACGCACAGTCACACACAGGCCCCAGAAGACACCTAGACAAAAATCAGCAGTTTATTCTGAGTGTATATCCATCATAATAAAGTATAAATGATAGACAGAGAATATGTTTCTACTTTTGATTGTTTATTAACAAATTTTTAGTTAGGCAATGTACTGGAAGTCAAACAGAGTAGCCTCTAGGTCCCCACTGGCTGGTTAGGGCGGAAGTAAGGGATGTTAGGAAGCCGGACGTGGCGGCGGAACTGGGGGCGGGACTCGAGGCAGGGTGGATGAGGAAGTGTTGAGGAGTTGCTAAGCAACCTGCCGGCGTGCACGGATTGACGCTAGAGAGCTGGATTCAACCGCTTTAATTAACAGTATTCTTTGATCTTTCTAACATTCCTGTTAATACGATTTACATTCCTTATGGTTTTATCTTCTTACTTCACATTTTGCTACCGACTTATTAATAATTTCAAAGGAAAGTTATTACGATAGAATTACACTGAGATATCTGTTAGGTTCCAGAAGAAAAATCATTATCCCAGTACTAGAAAGTTGTGGAGTTGGAAAAACTTATCAGTACATCCCAGTAGTTCTTGATATGGTCAAATATAATTTAACTTGGGTGCAAGATTTCCAGTCAGGTATTATGCAGCTTACCAATGAACCTTGAGCTCCTGTGTTCACCAGGCACAAAACCAAAGGTTGAGGCTCCTCTGTGAATCAGATACTAAACTAAAGGCTGTGATCCCAAGGTAGTTAAACACGTGGGTGGCAATCCTTTAGAATCTATCAGTCTGTTGTATTTCTATAGGGAGTGGGGAATGCTGTCTCTAATCTTTATCACAATGTAAACACCATGGCAAAATAGGTATTCCATCTCACAATGACCATTCCTTTTATTCAAATTTATTTATTTATTTTACATCCCGACTGCAGTTTCCCCTCCCTCTACTCCTCCCATCCTCCCAGTCCCTGCTTCCCCTCTGCTCACCCTCCCCAATCTACTCCTCCTTTATTTGAGTTCAGAAAGGGGCAGTCCTCCTATGGGTACCAACAACACATGGCATATCAAGTTGCAGTAAGACTAAGCACCTCCTCTTACATTTAGGCTGAGCAAGGCAATCCAGTATGAAGAATATGTTCCCAAGAGCCAGCCCAAGCATTAGGCACAGCCCCTGCTACTACTATTACTAGTCCCACAGCTAGACCAAGCTACACAACTGTCATGTACATGTAGAGGGCTTAGGTCAGTCCCATGCAGACTCCCTGGTTGTTGGTTCATAGTCTGTGAGTTCCTATGAGCCCTGTTAGTTGTTTCTGTGGGTTTTCTTGTGATGTCCTTGACCCCTTTGACTCTTACAATCCATCCTCCTCTTCCACAGGGTTCACTGAGCTCAGCCGAATGTTTGGCTGTGGGTCTCTTTGATCTGTTTCTATCAGTTACTGGATGAAGGCTCTCTGATGACAGATCACTAATCTGATCACAAGAGCTGGCCCATTCAGGCTATCTATTGTTAGGAGTCTTAGCTGAGGTCATCCTTATAGATTTGTGGGAGTTTCCCTAGCATCAAGTTTCTACCCGACCTGGAAATAGGTACCTTCTAGTCATCTCTGTCAGTACTCTTCCCCTCCACCAAACCCCCAACCTGATTCCTCAAGTTTCCATCCCCCCCCCCCCCATCCACCCAGGAGGTCTCTTTTATTCCCCCTTCCCAGGGAGATCCATGCATCCCTCCCTCCCCCTGCTTGATCCCTCTTTGTTACTTAGCCTCTCTGTAGCTGTGGATTGTAGCATATGACCATACCTTTTAAAGAAATACTGCAGTAAGTAGATGAAACCAGAAATAGGCACTGAACCAAAGGGGAGATCTGGTCAATCTTTAGAACTGGTAGGTTCTACAGGAAAAGTATTAATAGGTAAGGAGGTCCCATGTGAATATTGAAACTATACTTCACGTTTCCTGCAGTTCTGTACCTAGATGGTCTCCTATAACGCTCTTTTGCAAAGGTGAGAATTCTGATGCTGACCGTAGGTAGCACTCCAATATTCTTCTGCTGTATGCCTTACAGTGCATCCAAGAGACATATATTGACTTGTAGATTTGGGGACCAAGAGTTGTATCTTCTAACAGCTAAGACTATGGAGTTAATGGGCATGACTAAAGATTGTCTATGAAGACAAAATCACCAATGGCATGCACCTATTTACCTAGTGATATCTATTTAAATAATAGAAGATTAGAATACAAATTTCAGTCTGTTTCTAAGAATACATGTTGTATATATATATATATATATATATATATTTTTTTTTTTTAAAAATGCATTCTGTTACCTAAATTGGTTTCTGATTGTGTGTGAAACCATGTGCCAAAATGCTGAAGAGAACACACCTTGTTCAGAGTTTCTATCATATGTACATAACACAGTGAAAATAATATTAAACCACAAATGGTAGGTGAGTTCAATACTCAGATACTGATGCCACTTCACAAATGGTGTATTGCATCAAAATAACAAGGAAAAGCACTGTGTTTATGTCAAGTCCCAGAGAAACACCCGGGGCTGGCATGTTGCAGGCAGTTTTGGAGCAGGTTGTGGGAAGGGCATGTATGAGCTTCCCTCCAAGGAGCTCAGCCTCTCTCCTAACTGAACAAAGCTGCTGATTTGACTCTCCTAAGGTGTGCATGGATCGTTTGTTTCTGGTGGCTTCAGCCACCCTCATATTTGATTCCAAATTCTAGAGTCCTCCCCGTCAGCCGCTCCTTCTCTCCACCTGCTCTATCCATCCATCTCTCCTCCCCTACTCGCTAAGTGTCCTCTCTTGGTCTCTTGGTCCTTGGCTTTTCTCTTGGTTTGCTTACCCCCTCCCCCAATCATATGACCCAGTTCGGTCTGGACCCTTCCAGATGTCTCTGGTTAAGCTCTCCCTCATATCTACAATAAAACCCTTCTCCTCAACCTAGGAGCAGTCATGTCTTCACGTCATTCAATTTTCAAGATACTGAAAAACTGTTCAGAACTCTTTCCCACTTCAGTTCCTCCATGCTGCCACCATGTATTTGTATCCTCAGAACAGCCATCTCTAGAGCCATGTGAGTTTCCCCTTGTTACCAGAAAGGAAATTATAGATTCATCTACATTCAATTTTTTTTTTTTGGTTTTTACAAATTTTATCAAGCCACTTTCAGTTGACAAATTTTGTAACAAAAGAGGGACCCTCTAATTTGCTGAAAAAATTAAAATGCTAAAGTATCTTTAATGAGTATAAACAGAAGCAGACTCTGAAGCAAATTTGAAGAGATACTTGGAAAATGCTGTATTTTAAGACAACAGCATAAATGGCCTAATGTGTTCTGGAAGAGACCCAATTAGTGTCACAGGGAGCCATAAATGAGTGCAGAAGTAAACAGTGTGACCACACTACATCTCATTAAAGGCCAAAAAACTTAGCAATGCTGTATTTGTAAAAGCATAGAAAATCATCCTTATTAGAAAAGAATCAAGGACTGGTGGTGTGGCCGTCTGAGACACACAGAAAGCCCTGGGCTTCCGTCCCCAGCAACACACAACAACATCGACAGCAACCACAGCCACAAACACAGGGTCAGGGTGCAATGTTAATGCACATTGCTAAACAGAAGATAGCCGTGGGCAGAGGAAATGTGAGAGGCAATTTTAGAAGACAGCCCAAGCCCTGTTCCTGTTTGTAACCCCCTGACAAACTACAGTGAAACCCTGGCCCCAGATTTCATGATAAATCTTCAATTAAAAAACCAAAGCCAAGCCCAACATGGTGGAGGAGCCTTTAATCCCAATACTCTGAAGGCTGAGGGAGGCAGAGGCGGGCAGAGGCAGGTGGAACTCTGTGAGTTTGAGGCCAGCCTGGTCTACAAAGAGAGCTCCAGGACTGCCAAGGATACCCAGAGAAACCCTGTCTCAAACAAACAAACAAACAAACAAACACAACAACCGAAAAAACAACACACACACAAAAAGCACTGACAACCCGAGTATCTTAAGTGACAGACAACCATGTCTATCTTGGGACCTGTGCAGTAACCTTTCAGGATGGGAGATTCCATCTGCTGGTCAGTTCATCTGCTGTCTCGGATGGTAAATGCCCACAGAGATTGGTATGTTGGCCTTGAGGGCTGCATGGGGGATCCCTTAGTTTAGGAGGCCACACAAAGTTTTGGACTCATTTCTCAGGAGCTTCCTGGACCCTGACAGCCCACTGGTATACTTAGTCAAGTCAACTTTCCTGTTCAGTTTTTCAGCCTATCTGAGGCCTTTAGGTCATTAACTCTTTCTTACTTTTTCTCCCCTCAATAATCCACCACAACTCCTAAAGATAGTATAATAACTCAAAATTCATCAGGATTTACCTTCTTATCAATTATGTAAGGTACTTTGCTTAAGTGAGATCATAAAACACAGACTTAACTGCGATTGCCCCTGACTGTAAGTTACAATAGTGAGATAGTAGAGTTAGAATCCACAATACTTTCCGTGATTCCCCTCTCACAGATACTACCAGGTGCTCTACTGAGACACTGTCTGATAACCCAACAGTCTTTCAGGGACCAGGCTCTCTTATCTGGGACCTGGAAAACATCAAATAGGATATTGACAAAAGCATGTCATGTTAAAACAAGGACTTTTTTTTTTTTTTTTTACCTTCAGGTCCCCTGATGATAGACTGGCTCAAGTTCAAGCCAGATCAAGACATGTTATACAACATTTGTGGGCCAATGAGCTGTCCTGTCTTTCTTCAAGTTGACCAGCCCTAAATTATGGGAAGAAGACCTTGCAGAGACTTACAAAAGCCAGTCCTTGAAATGAAAATGACTTTTCAGCTTGTCAAATCTCCCCTTTGCTTTATGGAGGGTCTTTCTCTGTGTCTACTACATGTGTGTGTTTCCTCACCCCAGATAAATGCCTTCCTTCGACTGCTGATTCTGTGTGTTCCTGTTTGAGGTGTGGGAGATTTCTCCATT